GCACACACACAGCAGCACTCTCCTCCCCATGCTGGTATTTTCCAACCAAGGGCAAGGGAGAGGTAGGCTGGGGCTGTACTCTTCTCCCCTATAAGCAAGGCAGACTTACTGGCGGTAGTTGTAGGCAATGTCTGCAAACTGCTTCCGTCTTGCTCGGTACTCAGGATCTTTAAAACCCTAGGAGAAAGGAGACACTTGATGTTTCAAGGCTTTGCAGAGAGAGGCCTGGCACCTCCACGATGCCTAATGAGGGCTCATGAGCTATAACAGTGTGTGTCTCCTTCCCCTGATTACACCCTGAAAATAAAGTCTCAGTTAAACTTAGGATAAGCTCTCTCATGAGATATTGTGAGTGATATATTATAAGGTCACTTCCATTCAGCTTGAGCTTTCCTACCCTGGGATTTTGGTGGGCAAATGGTGTGCAGGTGTGCTCTGGTCTTAAAGAAATCTCATCTACAGCATTTCCAACTTATACATTTGCTAAATTAGGCAAAGTTAGTAGGATAGACATCTATGATAAAGATATACAATATCCACTTAATTCCTGATCACTGGTATAGGTCTAGTACTGCCTCCTAACTTCTTAATGGACAAACAGCTACATGCTTATACATGCTTCTGTTATCGCAGTTATTAAAGAATGCCATTTATTGAGTGCCTACTACGTGCCAGTCTGTGTGTGCTAGGACCTTATTTATATCTCTCACAATGAACTTGTAGACCAGCATGGGTAGCCCCTTATTTCCAGAGTAAACAGTGGCTCAGAGAAGTGAAGTCATAGTGAGGGTGAGGCCAGGATTGGGGTCACCCAGCTGCTCCTTGCTCTTTTCACTGCACTTCAGTAACTGTCAGCCTTTACAACTTGGCAGGGACTCAACTCATGAGAAATCTATCTCAGGACGTAAAAAGGATGAGTCTGACTTGCAGGCAGCCTTTTCCTCGTAATTCATAAGCAGCACATTTCTCAGTGAAAAAGACGAAGTGATCTTTGAATGTTTGGGGTGGGGACACACGCCTGAGTTGGATGTGATCTCAATTGATTAAAAGGTCCCATTTGCCAAAAATGCTGTTTGTAATATGTATTTTGGTAAGACAAGAGACTGGTGTCATTATTGTAGAACTCTGCTTTGTTCCCTCCAAGTATTTCCCAATAAGCACTGCCACCTACCACTTAAGCTTGCAATTTTCCTGCCTGGCCATCCCTCCAAACCATCATTTTTCAAAGTTTGATTAATGA